AGGGGCAAATCCAAAAAAGGGGCTCAAAATCAAAAATATGTACGGTGGCGGAAATTTAAATAGGGAAATGGTAAACTCTATGTAATTCCGTTCATCTTTATCCGATCTGGCAGATCTTAATGTTAAAAAATAGCTTAATTTCTATCTCAGTTGACATGTTTCAGCGTTTTTCAAAATTCTGATATTTTCAAAAACTTTTCGACCGGTCTAACAGGTACTACATTTTCGACTTTTCGGAGAAATTTTTTTGAAGTCTGTAAAAAATATATGTGATTCTCCTCTAGATTCTGAATACAATGCAAAAAACCGCATCTAAATCGGTCCGGATTCTACCGAGTTATGAATTTTTGAAAATCGAAAAAACGCGATTTTTTGCCATTTTTTGTCGATTTTTTTGCAAAAATGGGTGTTTTTTCGATCTTCAAAAATTCATAACTCGGTAGAATCCGGACCGATTTAGATGCGGTTTTTTGCATTGTATTCAGAATCTAGAGGAGAATCACATATATTTTTTACAGACTTCAAAAAAATTTCTCCGAAAAGTCGAAAATGTAGTTCCTGTTAGACCGGTCGAAAAGTTTTTGAAAATATCAGAATTTTGAAAAACGCTGAAACATGTCAACTGAGATAGAAATTAAGCTATTTTTTAAAATTAAGATCTGCCAGATCGGATAAAGATGAACGGAATTACATAGAGTTTACCATTTCCCTATTTAAATTTCCGCCACTGTACGTTTGCCTGCTTCATTTCGCCCTTTCCGTCAAAGTCTCCTAACCCCCCTTAATTCAAACAAATCCATATTAATCACACAGATCCATCGATACCCCTCTTAATATCCACAAAACTGTCTTACTTAATCTACACAAATCCTTCCTTATCCACACAAATATTTAGATTTGACCTTTTGATCCCTAAACTTACATTATTTTTTATTTTCCAATTAAATTCTTCAGGTAAATAAATTTCATTAGATGACAATAAAGATATTTTGTTTAATTCTACTGATTGCTGATAAATTGGATCATTTCCAAATTGTAAAACAAAAACTTTAATTGTAATTGTGGAGTTATAAATATTTTCAAGTAAATCAGAACAGACAAAAAGATGAAAATTTTCGTTTTGATCAAAATACTAAAAAAATAAATGTAGAAATTAAATATAAAAATTTCAAAAAACCAACCATCGATAAAATTAAAGGAGCAAAAGACCGCTTAACAAAATAATGGCCAATTTTCCACCGTAAATTAAAATCTATTGTAGACCAAGTTGGAGCAGACCAAACATCATTTAACTGCCAATACATTGCACACATTGTATAACCCACTCCATTAGTTAAATTTAAATTAGAACGCCATCTATTTATTTTTGAGATTAAAAAATAAATTTAGAAGAAACCTTCTATAATGTTCAATTTGTGTTTGTAACGCTATAGCCTGATGTACTTGAGACAAAAAGGCAAATTCGTCAATAAAAGAAGTAGAAGAATTTGATGAAATCTACATATTTAATAAAAAAAAATATTAAAATAAAAAAATAAAACCAAAAAATGTTGTAAAATCATCATTGGAAGAGTTAAAGCACCCCCTGGATGGTGCTGTCTTTCCAGTAAAGTTTCACTTGTATATTTCCAATCTTCTTCTTTAATCCAATTAACCATTGTTGATTTAAAAGGCATTGATTGAACACCAAATTCTGAAGCACATCGAGGAATTAAATAAGTAGAATCTTCCCAAAGATTTTTTGTTTCAGCATAAAAGTGAATATCTCCATAGAGAGAACTTCCAGGATTTTCAGAAATACCTCCCTTACTAGAAAATTATTTTAGAAAAAAATAATTTAATAAAAAAAAGTAAATTTTAAAAAACCTTTACATTTCCGTTTCAATTCCATTTGAAGGGCTCGATAAAAGAAAAGGCCTGCTTGTATCTAATTTATCAACTATTGGTTGTATTGTTTGTTTATAGAGAATTAAATAATCTTTTGATTGTAATTCTTTCGAATAATTTTTTGCAAAATACCAACCAGCACTTTAATTATTTCAAAAAATATTGGAAAAGTTATTTTTTTTAAAAACCTTATAGCCAATTCATTTTCATTATTTCCTGCCCAACAAAGTAAAGATGGATGATGTCTTAAACGAAGAACCTGAATCAATAAAAATTAAAAATAAAATAATTTAAAAACCTGTTCTTTAACTTCTCTTTTAACAGAATTTAAAAAAGCTTTATTTACTGGGTATAAAGCACAGGCAAACATAAAATCCTGCCAAATAAGTAAACCTAAAAATAAAAGAATATTGGGAGAATATTTTAAATGGAAAAACCTAATTCATCAGCTAAACCATAAAAATCATCATCTTCATAAAATCCACCACCCCAAACACGCAAAACGTTCATATTTGCTTCAATCATTGAATGAAAAAGAAAATTACGTCTTAATGTATTATTGCGTGAAGGAAATATTGATATTGGAACAAAATTGGTACCTAGACTAAAAATAATTTATTTTCAAAAAATTGTTTTCTGTTCATTAAATAAATCTTTAACACTCGTTACATTTAAATACCAAAATAAACGGCCAACTTTAAACGTTCCAAAAATTCTCAAGTTTGGGATTTATTAGAAAACACTAAAAATATTATTCAAAATTTCAAAGATTTCGGGTATCAACTAAAAATATTCTAAAACAATTTCTGTAAAGCGACATTTTTATTACATGATTTTAATATATTAAATAAACCTTTAAGAAATATAGGTATATTATTAACTTCAAATTGAAAAAAGCGTCCCTTGTCATGGTCTAGTTCACTTACAAAACTTTGATTTAAATAAATTGAACGAAAAGCTATTCTTTTTTTAATTGAATCTAATAAAGTATCTAAAAATTTATTTATTTAAATTTAATGAAACTTTTAATATAAAAAACCGTTTAAATAAATTTTTAATTGTAAAGTATATAAAGGTTGAGAACCATAACCATTAGGCCACCAAAGTTTGATCTAAAATATAAACGAATATAGATGTACGATACGGAATAAAGATAAAATAAAGTGAAGTGTCTATGTTTTAACAACAAAAATTTAAATTAAAAACAACCTTTTTCCGAGGAACTAAAATATCCAAATTCTCCAATTTAATTTTTGGACATTTGCCATAATCAGAAGGGCGAAAATTCAAATATTTTGTTAAACCAATTTCGTCGAGACTTAATTCAAGTTTAAAATTTTGTTGATTAGAATAACAGTAAATTGAAATAATATTTTTAATAAGAAAATGAGCTGAAAAATAAAATTAATTAATTTTTAAAAACAAACTATTAAATACTTTTTCCATATGGTTCAATTAATGGAGAGAAATTTTCTATTGAAATATGATCAAAATAAATAATTTCAATAGGTCGCCAAATGCCTACTAAAAAATTAAAACAAAATAATTTTTATAGATTTCCTTATACCAAAGGGCATGCTTGGTCCCCAATCCCAAGCAAAACTCGCTTGCATTGAACGTAAAAAGTTGACATGACATTGACCATTATACACTTCTGGCGGACATTCCTATAAAAAATTTGGTATTTTATTAATATATCGTCCCCGTTATTTGTGTCTCACATTAAGTTCCATTTTAATCTTTAGGCCTCGGAATGGTAAAATTTCCTTTTTTATGTTTACTTTTACTTTTGCCGCCTATTTCTCCTTCCTAATTTTTATTCAGCTAACTTCTATTTAAAATACTTGAAGAAAATGAATGCTAGATAATAAGAGAAAAATTAATTTGAGAAGGGAGGGGGAGGGGCGAGATATTAATAAAGTAACGAAAAATAAAGTAATTTATTAAAAACATACCGGTGGCAAAACATGGTTGTTAAGCAACTTAAAAGGAGAAAAAAAAATAAATTTAATATTTACAAAAAAACCTCATAAACATCTGATCGCATCTTTGCTTCTTTAACATTAGATTTAAATGAAATACGCAAAAAATTCATTCCTTTGACCAAAAGAGATGTTAAATTAATTGAGTAACTTAAAAATTGATTATCTAAATTAGCAACATGGTAATCATTAAAATAAATTGAAGAGAATCCATTTAAACCATGTATTTTTAAAAGAACATTGTTTGCCTGAAAGAAAATTTGGTAGTATCGGTAACACCAATTTTTCTTCTCCTTTTTTTCTCCAAAAAAGTACAAATGGGTCAAAGTAAGATACATTATGGCGATCTATGGCAATAAGTAGAACGCTTTGCATTTTAGAACCTATGGTCAGGTATTATGCGTGAGTTGAGTATAATATTCCCATAAAAATTTTATGGGAATAGGTTACCTAATGCCAATAAAGTAGTTTCATACACACGTCAGCATAGGTTCTAATTGCCGAAGCTGGTGACTTTGACACATGTTTTATCGGATAATGAAAAGCACCGAAAATTTAAATGAAATTTCCAAAAAATCAAAACACATTGCTTATGAGTAAAAAGAATAACTAACCTTATAAACTTCCTGCGGAAAAAGTATTGTTCGTTCATATATCCAATCTTGTTGACCTACCCATCCATATATTTTATCACCTTGACCAAAAAGTGGATTTTTTATAAAATTATTAGTTTCCAAATCAGCATAAATATCGCCTGGGACAATAGCAGAACCAGAAATATTCAACTTTGGAGAATAAAAATTCCAATGAGTACCGCCAAGATCAATTTTAAAAGGGAGAGAAGAAACAAAATTAATTGACAAAAGTACTAGCCAATAAAATATTTTATGAGACATGGATTTTATTGAATGAAGCTACAAGATTTTCTAACAAAAAAATATTTAAAAAACCCTTCAAAATAAATAGTTTTCAAAAAAACTAAAAGATATTTTTAAAAAATAAATTAATATCAAATATATTTATTACATACTCACACTGGGAGAAAAAAAAAATTAGATACAAAAAAGGCCAGAAAAATATAAGGACATATTTTTAATAAAAAACAAGATAAAAAAATATATTTAAATACCATCATTTCTTGTTTCTATTTGGGGAAAAGACAATATGAGCAAGTTTTTCCTCCCTTCTTGCTTCTTGAATTGGACATTCATCTGTTGGATGACAATCAAAACGTTCACAATATTCGCAGTAAAGACGACATCTTCTCTGTGGTTGTTGTTGTTTATTTGTATGATTCCTTTAATAAAAAAATTTTTTAAATTTATTTAATGGAAATTAAAGAAAAGCTTGACTAATGCAAGAAATTTCAAATAATTATTTTTGGTAGAGAGAGATATTGGTGCAGACATATCGGGATTGTTGTATTCCAAGACCCAGTGGCCGCAGGTCCCGAAATGAGTAGGGCAACTGTTCCTCATTGAAATATCTCGTTATGTCCGTTCCGGCATGCCTTTTATTTAAACGGAAAAAAACAAACCTTATAAGATTCCCACCAATACAACTTTCAATATTATTACTTCCATTTCCATTATTATTTTTCGATTCTCCTCCATTTCCTCCAATAGACATTTTCTTCATTTGTTCAATAGCCATTTGTTGATCAGCAATAATTTTATTTAAAAAGGAATTTTGTTGTTCTAAACGGTCAACATCTTGACATTTTTCTTTAAGCTTTTTATGTAAAGTATTTGGTGAACAAAGTTTTTGTTCATCTGAACTTGCTGCCGTTGAAAATATATCGTTGAATGGAAGTTGCTAAAAAATTTTATTTAAATATATGTAAAGGTTTAGCAAAACAAACCGTAACATTTAATTCTAAAACCTCGTTAGTTGATGAAAAAGAAGACTTTCGAGGAGGTGTTGCGTTAGTCTTACAAGTAGAATTGTTAAGAGTATTTGCCTCCAATGAATCCTTTAAAAACAGTTAAAAATTTAGGCAAATAAAAAAACCTTTCTAATTACAGGACTAGGCAACATAAAATCAGTCTGAACTGCAGATTCGATAAAATGAACAAAAGCAGGTATTTGTTTAAATTCTTCAGTTTGAGAACTGATACTTTGAATTTTTGGAGGTAATACAGGAAGTGTTTGAATACCCTCTTCCTTATTTAAAATTGTCGTTGCGAAAGTTTGAGCAATTGAATTGATATAATTTTGTTTAAAAATCTTGAAATAATTAAACATTTTGTTAAAAATCAGTTAAAGTTTTTACCTTAGAAACTTCCTCCACCGTTTGAAATGCTGAATCTTGAAATAATTTTTTATCAGTCTGAATGGCAGAGTCTTTCAGCAATTTCTCATCAGTTTGATTTGCTGAGTCCTTCTCCAACTTTTCATCCGTTTGATTTTCAGAATTAATCATTTTCTTTTCTTCAGTTTGAGCAAAATTATTTTCAAATAATTTTTTCTCTTCTTTAATAATTTGTTGTTCTTCTGTTTGAACTCCAATCTCTTCGAATATTTTTGTCATCCCTTCTTCAATAATGCCATTCTTTGCTTCCTTTTCCAAAATATCATCAACACAATTTACTTGCATTCCAAAATCTTTACAATCAAAAATATTCTCTGTTTGAGTACCAAAATTTTGATTATTCTTATTTGAAATTTGTTGTTCATTTTCAGTTTGAACGTCAACCTCAACGAAAGTTATTTCATCATCTTTACTGAACTCATCAAGCGGAAGTAATAATTGAGAGTCAATTAAAGCAGAAATTGAAGGGCCTTTAAAATACAAAAATATTTTATCGCTAATTATAATTTAATACCTCTACTATTTTCTACATCTAAATACATTCCCTCCTCTTTTTCAAATAATGTAGGCATACTTTTCAATTCATTTAATTTATGCTCCAATTCTCCTCTTTGCACTTCACTTTCCGTATAACAAAAAGACAAATCTTCAAGCTTCTTTTCATTTGCAGCAATAGATGATCGAAGTTCCGTTCTTTCACGCGATAATTCTTGAAGATTAAAATCTAATTCCCCAATACGCAATTTTAAACTTTTATTTTCTTGGGCCAAACGTTCTAAAAAATAATTTTAAAAGAATTTTATTCATCAAAAGAATAACCAGAATCACAACGACGTTCCTCCATTTCATATGATAATTTAGTTAAATGAGCTTCTTTTTCTTGCAAACATTTCTTAAAAACAAATTTTAAAATTATTAAACAAAATTTCAAAAAAAAAACCTTCAAGCCAGCAATAACTTCATTATCTTTAGAAAAACTCGTTTGTTTCTAAAAAAAGATTTAGATTATATTTCGAATAAAAGAAACTAAAACCATAGTTCCACCATATTTTGGCGGAGGAGATTTAGGCGATCTTGGGGATATTGCGCTATCCAATGATTCTAAAGTAAAAACAAATTAGAAACAGAATAAAATATATCGTGGCCAAAAAATATTCAAAAATCGCAAAAAATACCCATGCTCCCTCGCCAAGAACTGGCACCAGCATTTGTATATCCATCCAATCCCCCACGTCTTTCTAATCTTAATTTTGAAGCTGTTGTTTGTTTTGGGGCAATTTTGGGTGGAAGAGCAGATTCTGTACGAGTTGCCCGTTTCACTTGATCAGCAGGAAAAAAAACAGCATATTTTGGATAACATTTGAAATATTGAATACTCTAAAAAACATTTTGAAGTTAACTTGGGGTCACTATAGTACGTGGGAGCATGAACATATGTTCGAAATATATACCATTCGATTCAACTCAAATTCTGATTTGAATTTGCCATAATAGAGTGAAATTAAGGAGGATCAAATATTCGAACTCAGCTCAGCGGGAGGAATCAAATAGTATATATTTTTAAATTAAGTTGTAATATAATACAGCAGAAACTTATTATAACTTAAAATAAAATTCATACATTAAATTCCCCACTAGAATTACCAACAGGTTTATCTAACAAAATACCAGCATATACTTGTCCATTAATTGTATTTAGAAATTTTATTTTTCCGCAGCGTCCATCATTTGTATTTACTCGATCACCAATATCATAACTAAAATATTTTTAAATTCACTAATAAATATTTCTACCCATATTCTTGCGCAAAAGGTGAATGATCTCTTAATCCTCCAACTTGTGAGGCAGCAATTGAAGGAGCGAAAGAACTTGCAATTGAATTTGTTGGTGATGGGACTCGCCTATGTTGTTGTGATCTTTGAGCTAATGGAGATTGTATTGCCGATTGATTATTTAACTTAACCAAGTTATTAGGACGACAAAAAACTCCAAATTTATCTTGACACTGTGAAAATGGGAAAATTTTTTTAAATCATATTTATAAACGGAATTTAAAGAAAATCACGTTTTTATAAATAAAATTTAAAAAACCTTGAAATAAACCCTCCCATCAACACTTCCATTATTTTTTCCTTCAGGTCTTTCCAAAATCACACCAATCCAAATTCCAGCTTGGAAATCTGTTGGCCCAACAAAAGCAACTACACCAGCACGGCCACCAGTCTTCATTTTAACTTGGTCACCTAATTTGAAGTTTTCATTGTTTGTGGATTCGGAGATTGTAGAATGTAGAGAATCTTTGCCTAAAAGTTTAAAGTTGCATTCCAAAGAAAATTCTGAAATTCTGTTTTTACTTACTTTGTGCTGGCTTCATCAAATAAAAATAATTGTAGATAAATTAAATATAAACACAAAATAAGACTTTTAACTAACAAACACACCTAAAAATCTAAAAAAATGTTTAAATTTTAAATAATAACTAGATATGCAACATTTAACAAAATAAATTAACAATTCCCAGACATACTGAATGTGAATCGGCGATACTGAATCGACCTTACCAAAAAAGGAAAAAAACACATCGCCAGAAAAAAATGACACTTAATCTATTGCGAAACGAGTTTTGAATCTTTTTTTCTCTGCTTTCCATAATGTTTCTCTCGCAGTACAATAGGGCATTACGACAATTAGACAATTGACTATTGGACAGAGGACTATAGGACAGTCTAACCATTGGACAAGTTATTGTTAAGAGATTAATTGTTAAGAGTTAAGATTACAAGTTATTGTTAAGAGAGAGAATAATACGTTTTTGATTGTCCTTTTTTTAAAGTGGGTTCTGACACCTCTTATGGCTTTATTAATTTTAGTAATACTTTGGAAGTTATTTCCTTTTTTTCCATTCAATTTTTTGGGACACGTCCAAGTAATCTGGAAAATTTCTGGACCTCAACAATTTTGAACCAATCTCTTTAGCTTGATGAGAGGAATTGTTTAATACTAAATTTGGTAAGATTCGGGAATTTTGAAGCAGGTTATTGTCCGCTTGGAGCGGGACAAAAAGTTTACCCAACGAGGATTAAGCTTCATAATTCTGTTCAGAATCAACAATTATAAACAAACATGGCATCATTCGACCCAGCTCGAAGGGCTTCTTCGATTATATAATATGTAGATAAAAACAAAAAAGCTCATAATAGTTAAAGAAATATGGGAAAAGGGGGGATGGGGGTCAGGGGTGGGCGCAAGGGGTGGGCAAGAGGCAATCGTGAAAAACGCAAAACGCAACGCAAGGCCAAAAATCAACGCAAAACGCAAAAAACGCAAAACGCAAAACGCAAGAACGCAAAATTCTGAAAAAAATTTTTAAATCGAGTATTAGCCATTTTTCAGTTAAAATAGAAGTATTACTATAAGTCAGCGAGTCCTAGTTGATCTTGTGATACAATTAAGTTGGATGGGTAATGATTTGAAGGGGATACAATGGGATTATGAAGGATATTAGAGGATTTAGAGCGATTATGAAGGAGAGATCGAGGAAAATTGGAGGGATCAAGGAAATTTAAAAAGATACCATGCGATTACTGATGAATGTCGGATGGGTTGGGGAGATAGGAGGATAAATGGCTCTCTGTAATTCTCAATTGATACCGCGGATATCAGCGGATTTGGAGGGATAAAGGGAGATCGGAGCTCAAGATATTGAACTGATATTTTTCTGACAGTTCCATGATCTACTTTTAGCGCCGCAGGCGAAAATTTTGAAAAATTTGGGGCCAAGAAGCCAAATTTCTTCCTTTTTTAAGCGCCGCAGGCGAAAATTTTGAGAATTTTGGAAAGTCATAAGTCTGATTTCATTCAGATTTTGCCCTCAGATTGGGTATATTTCTTGCGATTTTTTGCGTTAATTTTGGCCAAATTTACGCAAAACGCAAAACGCAACGCAAGGCCAAAAATCAACGCAAAACGCAAAAAACGCAAAACGCAAAACGCAATGCGCCCACCCCTGATGGGGGTGGGGGACTTCCAAATTATTACCTTAATTTTTTCAACTTTGCAAAATAATTTATTCCGGATATATGTAAACATTTTGTTTTTTAATAACTAGTTAATTTTTACATAATCATTTACAGTTTTAATTTTCTCCTATAAATTCAATTCTAAAAAATTTGAAAGTTGCGGAAATAATTATTCCGAGTTTTTTTATCCTGTTTTATAAAAAATATATAATTTTAAATTACATACTTTTTTGGTAACACTTTTCAATTAAAAAAAACTATTACATATTTATGAATTTACAAATCCTGAATTTATTTTAATGTGTTAATTATTTATTGTTAATCGAAGGCCTAATTTCATTTGATTTTTATATTTGAAAACTTTATAGAGATCGGGCTAAATCTAGATTTAAAAACCTTCCTTCTTCCACTCGAGATTATGACAACTTTCATTTTCCTTGATTAAAATTAAAGAATCCTCAACCAAAATCAAGAATCGAGGTCAAAGTTTTTTTTCAAATTTCCAATCTCTATAAATTTTCTTTAAATTTTCTCGAAAACATTCTCTATTTTTATTTCCCAATTTTAAGCAGTATTAAAAAGAAAAGATGTTTTTATGCCGCTTAATTTGATCCAATTTTCCTCATTTTCTTCTAAAAAATACCAACTTTTTTGTAATCCTTTTTAGTATGGCCAATTGTGCCCATCCCTTCCCGATCTTGTCTCTCTAAAAAATTAAAGTGGGCCGTGAGAAAAGCACAAAAAACAAGATTCTTTTTTTGCTTACATGAAATAAAAATAAAATTTTCTTCTCATCTTCCAAAAAACCCCCAAAAAGATGCCGCCTTGACTTATCCCGAAAATTGGCCAATTTTCGCGCAATTTTCCCCCCATCCTTTTCTACTGTCTCCAAAATCATTTTACATTTTTTATCATTTTAAGGTTCATTTTTCATTTCGTTTTTTTATTTACCTTTTTGATTAAGCCGCCGACTCTTTTAAATTACCCAATCAAATATAAAAATAAGAATATATTTTTTAATTGTTATTTAATTTGAGAAATTTATTTTTATTTTATCTACAAATTTATCGTTTTATAATATAGAACTTTTTTAACTTTTACTTTATATATAATGTTATAAACTTTTATCCATCTGGTTATAACTTTTATCCATCTGGGCCCGTAGTAAAGGAACTCGATTTCTGGTTAAATAACTACCAACCGGCGGTTTTTACCAGTAGTTTAAGACGTCGGTACTTATCCGTTATACGCCCACAAACTGAATGTCAGCGACTTTGATCGGCTATAACTTCTTTGGGTTTGATTCAATTTAAGTAAATCTTATATCATTTGAAAGCTCTCAATAAGCGGTATTTTTTTCAAAAGGCTAGATCAAGTCTCATCACTCATTAAAAGGTTATAACCCGATAAGTCTAGTTATTCGGTTTTTCACATTTATCGGATTATAACTTTTTAACGAGTAGTCAGACCTGATCCACCAAGTTGGAATAAGATAACGCTTATCGAGGACTATCGATTGATATAAAATTCATTTGTATTGGATCAAGCATCAAAAAGTTATAACCAATCAAAGTCAGCCTGAAAGGAAGTGAGGGCCAAACTCTTTCTTGAAAAGTCTTTTTCTTGATGAAAAGTTTATTTCAAAATTTTTATTTTTAAGTATTTTACATCCTTTTTTGTTATTTTGTGAAATATGTACAACTAACCAACCTACAAATCACTAATATTTTATTACATGTCTCTGTCTAGCCTTCCCTTATTTTAAGCATTAAATCAACCTAAAAATTGCTGACTACCTTCTAATTTACGAGCTGAGAAGGTGTGAAAATACTTTTAAAAAATGTTGCTAAATGTCAACAGAATTATTTATTAAAGGAATTCATTTTTGTTTAGTAGACAGCGGCGGGATAGAAAAACGGTTTTAAAGAATAATTTACTCTTTGAAACCTTGAACGGTTAAAAAAACGTTTTTTTCTTTGCCAAGTTTATAATATTTGTGCTATAATAATTTACTCTATAATAATTTACTTTACTCTTTTTGCACAAAAAAGAGTAAACTAGGCAAAATATAGGTAAAAAGAGTATATTTTAAACAATAATTTGAAAAAAAATTATATAATAATTACCTAATATTTTTTTATTTTTTTATTAAAATTGGCCATCTTTCTTCTAATAAAAGTAAAAATATTAAAAGTTTTTTTCCTTTTAAAATATCGGCATAATCTCTTTTATTTATAAAACAATTGAGTGGGGGAAACAGTAAAAGTTTTTAATAGACAATAATTACATAATTTGCCCGCCCAAACAGAGTAAGTAAATATTATTTTTTATTATTCCTTTCTCGGTACTTTTCTCGATATCTTTTTTTATCAGAAATCTCGATAAATTCCCCATTTTCGATTAATTTCCAGGGATGGACTGAAACAATAATCCCCCTCCTCCAAATTAAATTCCCCTCTCTCTAATACGGATTACTAATTCCCCAGGGAAATAATTTTGATAAAATACAGTAACTAATTCACACAAAATTTTAATATTCCTTTTTCATTCCTCCTTTAACTTGTTGAGAGTTTACCTTTATTTTCACTTGAAAATATTCTCTTTCTTTCTCTTTCTCGAGTTTCTTTTTCGCAAATTTTTGATGAGATTAAGTGCCCTCTCTAGGATTAAGTGCATCTATTTGAAAAAAGGCGGTATATATACTTTTTTTTATTTTTATGGCTGTAGATTGCTGTGAACTTTAAAAAAATAATAAATAAGTAAATAGGTAATTTGTATATCTTTCTTTCTCTCTCCTGTATATTCTAAAATAGGATTTTTTGTTTAAAAATTATTTTAATCAGATAAATATTTATTGTTTTCATACTCATTTCTAGTCTTAGACAAATGGGATTTTTCGGTAATCGATGACGGTAATTTCGAAAATTACTGAGGGATTATTTAAATTATTTAAAATTCCTTACTGTGCCGAACACTAAATAATTTAAATTTTAACTTTCCCTTAAATTTCCCCCCATTTTTCCCTCTAAAAATAAAAATTGTGTGCCCTTTAATTTTGCCTCATTTACCAAAAATATTTTTTAATCCTTATATAAAAATAGCCAAAACAATGGATTTTCTGATTTTTAATTTTAAACGCGGAAAAAGGAAAAAAAGAAGAAGCCAACAAAAACAGTTAAAGATTATCTGTTTATTTTTATTCCTTTTATTTGGAGCAAATCTTCCTTTTTCCCCGTCCATTCTTTTAAACATTTAGTGGTTTTTGTTTAGCCTCAACAGGTGCGCCAAAATTATATCTTCGGGATTTTTTAAGGGCAATTTAAATATATTCCGGATATACAATTTATTTTAAATATTATTGTAATATTTTCTTTTTTCTCTTTTATTGCGCAACATAAATAGGCTTCTATTCATTATTTTCCACTCAAAATTCAACAAAATAAAAATATCTCTTTTTTGCATAAAAAATTAAATTAATTAATGCGAATCGGTAAAAATTCCTTCATTTATTTCCGCCATGAGTGAATAAATAACTAAATAAGTGTGTTTAATCATGCACAAATAATCTACAGAAAATCAAAAGAGTATGCCGTGAATTTTAAAAATAAATAAATGACCGATTTTTGGTTAGAGTAATTCTTAATTAATTTTGCATAAACTAAATTCTTTTTTTGGACTAGGCCAAACATTTAATTGTTTATATAAAAAGATAAAATTTTGGAATAATAACTTCTCGTATCTTTATTTAAGTTCTTCAAAGATTTTTAGAATTTTTAATGCAGAATTTTTCAGAAATTATAATCAAAAATGTTGATCTTTCGAGGGTTATCGACCATAAATTTAAAAATATTTGATGAAAAATTCTGAAATTTTTGGGTAAGGTGGACAAGGATGTTAAAGAAGTTCGCGCCAGAACACCCCCCAACACTTATTTTTTAGTTTAGTGTATTTAAATGAATTTTTTAATTTTAATTATTTACTCTCTTTTTACCTCTCAACTTCATCCTCCGAATTTTTATTGCCTATTTAATAAAAAAAGCCAAAATAAATTATTTTTCTCTCCAATTAAATTTCTTTATCGGCCTCTCGATTAATAAGTCAAAACAAAGGAAAAAGTCGGCTAAATATAGATATAGTTAAAAATCAAAAGGCATGGATTTTTATATCCCGAAAATGAATAAAAAAGGAAAGGGATAAATAAATAAATTGCGCGAATCCCTTTCTAAAATTAATGAAAATAAAAATTACAGTAAATGCTCTAATATGTATAAGTTAGGCTCTATTAGAAACCAAGTCTTCAATATATGCCCACTCAAAGTGACCTATTGAAAAATATAAGTTCCCAGGACATGTATATCAGAGAATTTAAGTTATTTTTTTGAAATTTTGTTTTTATTTTCCAGAAGGTTTTCTTTATTTATTTCTTATAAAAAATTAATTTATAATGAGGTTGATCATATTTTTGCGCATTAAATTTTTTTTTGAATTAACGGAAAAAATAAATGAGGGCAAAAGAAAAGAGTAAAAAAAGATTTAATTCTAAACATGGAAAAAGCAATAAAAATTTTGTGTAGTAAAAAGAATAATGGTGACAACAACCATTTTTGCTATTAAAATATAAACAGAAGAAGAAGATTTTGGACAAAAAATCATATTAAAATTGAAGGAAGAAAAGTGCTCGATTGGGCGAGAAAAAATATTTAATAGAAAAATGCACTTTACGCGACAGCCGCTCTCTCTAAAAATAAATGTGTAAATATTTTTAGAGAGAAAAAAGGCAAATTGCGGCTTTTATTATTTCTGAATTGAACTTAATAAAATTTTTAGTTTTTTTATTTGGGTTTATTGCACGCGCGCAAAAAATTGACTCTGTTTTAGAAAGTCAATAAACTTCAAAAATTTCAAGATAGCAGCTTTATCGGAAAGTCAAATTTTAAGGAAGACAGGTTTAAAAAATAACTGGGCTGGGCAAAAAAGAAATCCTGTTTTCTATATTTAAACAGCTGAGTTTGTCATAGTAAGCTTACAGATAAGATTCGGATTTTCGAGTTCGAGACTTACGGGGCGGTCTGAGTAAGTACCCTATTCCTTACCAGTATACTCAAATTGGTCCAAATTGTTTGGTTCGATTAAAAGGAATTTGATAAAAAAAATCCTATTCCTACCAGTGCTGTTGGGCGAGCACGCAGCCCTAATCCTAATTTTGAACATCTACAGCAAGGCCAACTGATCGCTGACCAAATACCCACAAATTATCTTCCAATTTTTAATTTTTTTCTATTTATTTTTTTTCCGAACCTATGAACCGAACCAAAAAATCATCGGTTCTTTGGTTCAGTTCCGAACTGATTAGAACCCAACTTTTGAGGACAATTTACCATTAATTCTTTTTAGACTTTCATTTCTTAAATCCATTTCGGCAATATACAAAATATTTTTAATACTATTATTTTTATATATAAACACATTTCTGGATGTTATTCTAAGGAATTAAGGATAAAGTGTCGGCAATTTTACATTAAATTGTATTTACAAAAAATATTTTCATTCCTCTAATAATAAATTATTTTAAGAAAATAAAAAATAATTCGGAAAGATAAAAATATATGAAGAAGATTAATCATTTCCTCCCCAATTTTATTAACTTTAAATCAACATATGTACACTATTTCTTTTCACTTTGTGGGCGGAGCTTATTGGAAGATTTAACTCAAATTTGGTGAAAAGAGGATTTTAGCCCTCCTCCCCCCTCCCCTCCTTCCTTTTGTTTGCCTCTCTCCTCAGCCTTTTCCTGTTACATGGCATATTTTTCTACATCCTTCCCAATTTCCTTTAGCCATTATTGGCAATTAGCAATAATTTAAAAAATATATTTATTTACAAGTACCAAATTTTTGAAATTAAATTTTAACTCCTTTCTTACCTATTTATTTCTTTAACACATTTATTCTTTAATTTTAACTAGATATATGTACATATTTCCTCAGCCGTTGTTTTATATCCCCTCTTAACGCATTTTAGCCATTCTTCTCCTTATTTTCCTCAACATTTAAGTCCCGCCCCTTCCTTCTACTCAAAATTTTTTACCGTTTTTAGTGTTCATTTATTTAAGTTTATTCACTCACAAAAATTTTTAGTTAAAAATTTTTGGTCAACCAAGTAAATTAAAATAAAATCTAATTAAATACACACCAAAATATTTTAATTTTAAATAATAACTGCCACAAAATGGTAAAATATTTTTTTAATTTTTTAATTCAAAAAATTCCCCCCACAGATGTTCACTTATTGGCCGCCTGTTAAACATTGCTTTATATGCCCCCCAAATACTAATCATCATTATTATCACCCTTCTTCTTCATTACCTCTTCGTTGTGCCATTTCTTTGGGTGATTTGCCTGATCACATTTTTCTTCAAATTTTAAATGATCAAAAACAAATTTTGAATTCCCATCAACAATCATCCTCTTCCTCCTCGTCAACACAATCCTTTCCTCAATATAACAAAATAATGAAGAAAGCAACAATAATGAGTGATGAAAAATTAAATGAAGAATGGGAGGAAGATTATGATAGAATTGAAATTTTACAAATGCGAACGGTAGAAAATGTTTTTAAAAGATAGAAATCCCTTTTGGAGGGAAATTTTAAAAATTTTTGTTAGGGTTGCCGTTTTTGAGTCGAGTAATTCGAGTATTTTTTTGAGTTAAGCTGCCTCGGCTCGCTCGGATTTCCGAATTTCGATTTAGCAAGCCGGCAACCCTCCTAATTCTCTTGTATATTCTTGTAATTTTATTTAAATTTAGAGCCAAAAATCTGTTGGAACCCAAACAGGCAACAACAATATTCCCTTAAAAATTGAGGAAGAAGAGTTTGAAGATAATGAAGAAGATTCCAATATTATTTGTTCCCAAATAGCTCAATCCCTCTTAGACATTGCTGATCGGTGGGCACAACAACAACAAGAAATTCCGACAAAATCTTTTTGGTTGTTTGGTTGGTTAAAAATGAAAGTTTTTAGATTATTTGGATAATTCTCTCTCTACATAATTCTCTCCATCGTACTTCTCACACTTTATTTTTTTCTTTAAATATTTCCCTTCGGTATTTCTACAAAATTAATGCTTTATTATGTATCGCCTTTTCAGGATTACCTACTATATTTATTTGCCATTTTAATTTTATAATATTTTTTTTCAAAATTAATTTACTTTATTTTTAACAATTATGTGCAATATTTACATAATTCTTTTTCACATTTTCCCCCATTTTAATTTTCACTTATTTTTTTCCTTTTTTTAATAAATCATTTATTAAAATTTTGTTTAAATTTTTGGATTTAATTTTTGCAAATTACTTTTTAATTTTTCTATCCTACCCCTAGTATTTTCTCATAGAGCTATTATGTACTACGGTCATTTTATTGTTTAATATTTGCTAAGGCCAAGTGTTTCGACAATATTTAAAAAGCGACACAATGAACATGCTTTCCAAAATTCTTTTTAAAGTTGCCGTTCTACTTATTTACACTCTTTTGGGGGCGCTTTTTCCCACACATCCACAAAAGACACACAAAAACACGATGCTTATATTTTTAGAGAATCCTCTCCTTTAAAAGGAGTCACAATCCCTCAAGGCCATTCCTTCAAGTTTTACCAGCAACTACTACTAACTACTCATCTCGCCCACCACAACATATCAATGAAAATTAGTTTTGTGTGTGCTTTGTTTTCCTCCTTTCCTCTTCATTTCCATCTGACCGTTCTTCGTTTTTCTTCTTTTTGACTAGTTTTTGAGTTTTTGATGGTGAGGACTGTTTCTTTGAGCAATTATTTATATGTTTATACATATATCCGCCTCGAAGAAGAAGATTCCAAATGAGTGAATTGAGGAAATAAAGTAAACTTGAATGGCTGTTAGTTAAAAGAAGAGGAACAACAACTATTTATTTGTTCATTTAACCAAAATCTAATAAAATTTTGACAAAAGATTTGTCGTGAATGAACCAGATTTTAATACCCCCCTCTCCTCCCCCCCCCCCCCTCTACATTCTCTCCTCCTTCCAATCTCCCACACTTTTGTATTATTTTACAAATGAAAAATATGAGGGAGTTAATAGCTTTCTGAAAAATCCCCAAAAAATTAAAAATATAAAATCTTTTTTTTTTGTTATTTTTTCCAATTAATTCAACCTTAAATTAAATTTTTTCATTCTGGAAGAAGAATAATATGTTGAAGAATATTCGAGAGAGGAATTAAGGGGGAAAGAGAGATTAATTTGGCAGAGAGAAGATTAATTTAACTAGAAGATTTTTTATTGAGTATAGAGGATTTGAATGGTAACAGGGACAGGGGGGGGATTACCTTTCTAAAATAATTAGGTTGGCAAACACTTCACTTAATATTTCGAGACCCCTTCCCTTCCCAAAATTGGTCAACCACCACCCAAAAAATTATTATTTTTTTCTTTCCTCAATTCACAGCTTCGCGCATTGTTTGGTTTGGTCAATGTCACTCAACCACAGCATCCCCCCAGCATTTAATTTTAATTTTGTTGTATTAATTCGTGTAATATTTAGCTAATTGTACGGCAAAGACAATTAAATTAATGTAGAATTAAGAATCTAGGGAATATTTTCATAACAGAGGTGTGTCGAAATAAATTTTAAACCAAAAAAGGTGAAAATTTGGCGAAAGGTGAAACGGCAAACCTCTGATACATAAAGTTATCAATTAAATGTTTGTAAATTAAATTAAAACAAAATCAAATAATCTTGTTCCAATATTGCCATATTTTAAATAATTTTTGAGATTAAATTAATTTCTTCTTGAATTAAAAAAACACTCCTATTCCCTTTCACCACCTCCTCCCCCTCTCCTCTCCCCTTCTTTTAATTTCCCGGATTAATAATCTAAACAATTCACCCCCCCTCCCCTCCTCCCCTCAATTGAAATAGAGATTAATAAATTTAGTAAAGGATTTATTTTTATTAACTAGCAAAAAAGAGTGAACAAGCTAGGGACAAGGAATTGGAAAATATACATATCTCTCTCATATAACAGAATTTTAATACATAAATCTCTCTCACAGAAAATGAGAACAATAATTAAAACAATTGGTGCCTTAACCTGTAAATTGTCAAAAAAAGTAATTATAATAAACATTTTTTCCAACTTTTGCCCCCGAATTTTATATAAAAATCAAGAAAAAGTGACAACTAAAAGTTGTGAAATTTGAGAGATTTTTTCAATAAAAAAATTTCTATCACTACGCAACAAATAAATAAATAATTAGTAATTAATTGAATAATGCTGACGGATTTTGCTGAAATTGGATTTTCTTGTTTGTTTTTCCTTTCTTCAATAGGGCAGTGTACTATCCAAGACCTATCCAACTCGAAATTGGTACGGTGACTTTTCGTAAATTGAAATATTTGCATTCCTTCCGGAAAACTTTGCAAATTTAATATTTCTTTCTAGTTAAAGTGTAAATAAAAAATATTTTCTTCCCCCCCCCCCCCCCCCCCTTCCCTCTTCGAACCCCTTAAATTTCAATTTATATATCCACCAAATAAATTTCTTTTTTAGCGGCCATAAATTTAACAAAACAAAGGGAAAATGAAAAATGTGAATGTCTTTTTTATAATTGTCAAATATAAACTCTGACAGTTTTTGCATGCAAATTCCTTTATTTTCTTTAAAATAAAAATTTAAAATTAATCCAATTTGGGCGCATCCTTTTAAATAATTTTTAAGAATTAAAAAATGTAAAATCTTTTTTAATTTGATCACTTTTAAAAAATTCTTTTTTCTTTAATGACCACCCAAGAACAATAACTAAAAAAATATATATTAATTAATACTTGTCTATATAGAGAAAAGTTTAAATATATAACAATGAAAAAAAGGAGAGAAAATTGATGAGTTGTTTTACCTCCAAATTTGGGCATTTATAAGAAAAACATCAAAGTTTGGAAGGAAATTATATGACACATTTAAATGAAAAAAAAACAAATTTTGTCATTAAAAAATGAAAAAGATTTTTGGATTAGGGGCTGGACATAAATAAAAAAAATTTTGCGTAGCCACAATCCGCAATGCGGATAGTTTTATTTTAATTTTTTAATCAGTTTTAATCCCTGCTTTGGATAGGAATTTACTGTAAATAATATAAAAATAATGGCAAGTCCCTCAAATTAATAATACGTCTGAATAAATTCCCACGCCCGCGAAGATAATCAACCCAAATAATCATATAAAAATCAGCATATAAATATATTAATTAATAATTTCCGTTCAATAATAATTTAGAAAGAGATAAAAATCTCAATAAAAAAACAAATCAGTTAATAAACAAATAAATTGAAAGTTTTTTCCATTATTTATTAAAAACTCTCTCCTATTTTCGCGCAATTCTTCCTCATCTAAATACTTTCCTTTCCTTTCCTCAAGCTTATAATCTGTATTTATAAAATATTATTTTGACCATATGTTGTTTGTTGTTAAACACAATTGTTTTTTTTGAAAAGTTTAATATTTTTATTTATTTATTTTCCTCTCTTTCCCTTCCCTTTCTTAAACTATTTTAAATATACAAAAAAATATTTTCATTGTTTGCGCGAATATTTTTAAGGAAAGAAATTGAGAAGGGAAGAGATTTTTGTTGATTAGGGAAAGAGAGGGGGAAGGGGTTAGGAGGAAGGAAGTTATTTGTTTTGGGGGATGATGGATTGTTTGGAGGATTGAATAGTTTATTATTATTATTTCCTTCAAAAATTGGCACCTGCAGTAAATTCTCTAAAAATAAATGAGAAAATTGGATTTAGTATTTAAATAGTCAACAAAAAAGTTTAGTTAAAAATTGTTGAACTGATTGGCAGGTTTACAATTAAAAAAGAAGAAGAACAATGAAAAGCATGTAAAATGAGAAGATAAAGTGCCAATTAAGTATACAATACTAGTTTTTAAACGAGAAAAGTTTTTACAGGGAATTATAAAAATTTTATTGAAAGAAAGAAAGGCTCAAATTTTTTAGAATAATAAAAAAACAAAAAAAAATAAGTAAAAGTTTTAGTTTTTCAATTTTTCTAAACATAAACTTGGGAGGGGGGGGGGAATAACAGGTTACCCGAAACCACGACTTTCTTCACCCGAACCTGATTCAGCTTTCTTCCCCCCCCCTCCCCCGGTTACATTCCCAAACTTCTACCCAGAAAAACTCTCCCTATAAAAATTCATTTCTAAGAATTAAAATTAACCAATTAACGCTCGAAGAATAAAAAAAGGGGGGGGGGAAGGAGGATGGAGGGGGATGGATATTGTTTTTCACTCCCATCTGTTTTTGCTGTTGATTTAATAGTAATAAATCCACCTGTTTCTATTTAATTATTATAATCCCCTTACCCGCAAATTAACTAAATTAAATAAATACCAAAATTTACACAAAAATTAGCAGGAATTTAAAATTAAATTATTTTAAATTTTTTGTGTTTATTTTAAATATTCAATTAGCTAATTCTTCTTTTAAATATTATGTACATAAATAAATATTTTAGCTAAAAATAATAAAATTAAATATTTTATGTGCAAAATTCTGAAAATGAAAGAGTTTAGGAAAGTTTAATTTTAAATATTTTTGCTAGTTTAATTTTAAGTACATATGTATATGTAAATAAAATGATAAAAAGGAGATAATCTCAAATAAAATGACATTTTATACAGTAAATTCTCTGTTAGAAGCCCATCTTTAATAGAAGCCTATGCTAGGAGACCTATAAGAAAATATAATCCCTGAGTATATTATTGTAATTAAAAGTTTAAATTCCTATTTATTTTATACAACATCTACATTAATACCTAATAATTTTTATAAAACAATTTATTTATGTTTAAGACATACAAGAGAGATTTATGTATGTTTTTAAAGCTTTTCATGAAAATTTGATTAACTAAGGAAGGGGGAAGGGGGTGTAGAAAAGGGGAAAAGGAGAGAAAATAAAGAAGAGGAATTAAAATTTTGGGGACAAAAAAATAA